GTATTTGTAAAATACTTTGTGAATTAGAAGATCTCGAGGGTACATGGCAAGTGCAAGGTAGAGTTATTATACTGGGAAAGCAATACATCAAGATTTATGAGCAGAATCCTGTATAATGAAGTCTAATTTGTAAAGATGGATTCCTCTGCCACATCCTATAGCATTGTTAGGAGTTTGGTGACCTTGTCTAGGGCACTGTGACCTAGTATTGTGTAATGCAGAGGTAAATGATATAGGTCTTCAGACTGTGTCTACAGCACATTAGTTCTTATGTATTAAAGTAACAGATAAAAATTGCATGGTAATTTTTTGAAAAATTCATCTAAACTGGGTGGCTTCAATAATGATTTACTAAACTGGCTAATTTTGTCATAATATGGCTACCCAAAATACTAAATTGTCTTTACATTTAATCCACTTATTCCTACATTGATAGCAGATGCCAGCAGACATTCAGCAAGGATATTGTTGTTGTTTTTTTTTTCTAGTCAGAGACAACTATTGCTTGATTGAGCAAAGGACCTGGGCAGGCTGCCATGAAACTGTAGCCAACTTCTTAAAGCAGCTGGATATTAAAATTGATGGAGTCAAAACTTTTTATTTAAGTTGGATAGAATACTGATGTCCTGGGCTTATGCACTGCCATAATTTAAGTGCTATTCATAATATGATGGTGAGACACTGATACACATGCCTTTTAATTAAATTAATTGTCTGATGACATAACAAGATATGTACAAATATCATCTGTTGATTCCAGAGATGTTCTGATGCTTTTCTGTCTCTGGCATTTTTGTCCTTGTTTTTATATTTATTTGTCCCTTTGATCCACGTAGCTGCAGTGTATATTCCTAGGCCTCTTCTTCCAGCTTTTGTTAATGAGAAGGCAGGGAATTTAAGCTGCTCTAAATGTGTTGTTATTTGCTGGTTGCCAGATGAGCGTCTTCTCCATCGTAATAGGTCCAATCCCAGTCAGGTTGTACAAGTTCCCTCCTTTTCCTCCAAGCTGATATTGCAGTTCAGCCCTGACTGACAGTGTAGCTGGTAACTAGTGTTAAAGAGCAATGACCAAAACAAAATGGAGTTTTAACCATCAGTGTGCTGTCATATTCCAACCATCAAGCCAAATAAAGACTTGTGATTAAGTCATTGCTGTGAAGACAGCCTTGCAGGCACTTAAATAGTTATTTTTTTGGTCTGCTTTACTTTTTTATTTATTTGTTAAGGATCCAGACACCAGTAGTCCAACATATACCTGTAAAGAAAGTAAGCACATGACAGCTTAATTCACAAAAATTATATAATTGTTGGGGTTGGATGAGATGCTCAGAAGTCTCTAGTCTAGTCTCCAACTCAGAGCAGGATCAGCACTGGGAGCAGGGCAGGTTGCTCAGGGCTTTTCCCAGTGCGCCTTGGGAATAGTTTCTGCTCTGATGTCCTTGTGCTGGAACAGAGGGCAGGAGTACACTACTGGGCAGCGGGTGTGTGAGCTAGAGAAAGGAGCTGAACCTTGGCTAGAGCAAGGAGAGAGCTGAGCTTTGGCTCAGCTGTTCTCAAAGAGGTAGACAGCATGGCTAGGTTGCTCTGGAAAGTAGGCTGTGCATAAAAAGACTAATACAGTGTGCTCCTTCCCTCTCTCCCTTCCCCTTTGCAACAGAGGTGATGAGCAGCCTGGCTCTTGGCGACAGCGCTGCTCCGTACTGTCTCTTTTTCAGGACAGATCTATGGTGCCCAGAAGCTCTTAGTCACTCTTTTGGATTCACTGATTGGGATTTGTTTTTTAAACAATGAGGGTACCCTCTACAGTGCCAAAAATGGCACCCTTAGGGGTTTTTTGTGCTTTTCATAATTTTTGCAGAGGTATTTTACACTTTCTGTGTTTTCACTATGCTTATGGTTTAAATTGGAATGCACAAACTGAATGGGAAATGTACCAGAATTTTAAGGCCCTGTAAGGACCTATTTGCCTTAAAAGTTATATAAAATACTGTTGGTTTAATGTAATCCTGAACCACTATGTCGTTATTGAAAACCAGTGTTTGAGGAATTTAACTTGGGTATTTAACAGACTCTCCAAAAGCAATGACCTAAGCTGATTCTGAGATCCCTGCTCAAATCATGATCACCTGTTACAGTAAAACACAAGTTGTTGTTACATTTCTTGTATGTAGGGGAAAAGTGCCACTCTCTATCTGGCATTCTTTCACTTATTATATACTAAAATAAAATAAAAATTTAGTTTTGAAATTTGGTACTTTGAAGTCAAGAAACACCAGATGTAAGGATGCCGGTTGCTGTATTGTGCAGCCTCCTCACAGGGTATGATTGTTAAGACTGACAGGATTGGCATGATCATCTTACCTTTTTTTGTACAGAATTTTTCAGCCTCATTCACTGTACAAAGTAATGATCCCCATTGCTGTATCTGTTAACCTAGAGCCTGCTGTACTGCAGCTTTCTCAAATCCTGGACTGAGCACAGAATTACAAATTCCTTCAAGAGTTCATGAGCACGGTGCTTAGGAGCAGGTTATATCATTAATGTTTTGGTTGTATTCCTAGAAGCTGTATGGTTATATTGTTCCCATTTTACAGATAGAAACCAGAGGCACAATGAGACTGAACTCAAGAATACTAAGTCTTGAGAGTTAGAATTTGAATTTTCTACTTTAATATTCAAATTGTGGCTCTCAGTGGTTCCTGTTGCACATTTGGATTCTAACTGTTCTGCACCCAGGGAAAGAATAACTTGCAGTTTCTGGTGGTCTGGTCAGATTTTTTTTCAAGTGACTTGGTGGAAAACAGAAAAGAATGGAACCACAGGGATAGTTGACTTGGCATAGTCTCAGAAACCTGGTTTTTTTCCTGTATGCTGTCTCCCACCCTGCAGGGGTCCTGCAGCTGCTGGCTTAGCTGGTATGTGGTGCTGATACATGACCAGACCATTGTATATCATCAGATGGGATCCTTGGAAACTGAATGTGAGGATGAAGTTAAGACTTTGCCCTAATGCCTAGTGGGAAGAGAGTTGAGTTAGAATTAAGTGGGTGACTTCAACTCTGAAACTTACTTAAGTTTGAAAACTTCATGACCCTAACATTCTTCTAATAATAGAAAGCTTTGTCTCCAGTTTCCTCAGTTTAGCTTTTAGCTGTGGTTTAGCAATCTACACAGATAGCTGCCAGGATTTCTGCTCTGAAAGGCTGCCTTCACTGTGTCTATGGCAAAGATACACCCTCAGTCTTTTTTGCCAAATCTCTTCTCACCTAAGCTTCATGTCCCACAATACTTTGTATGTTCTGTGTTCTTGAAGAGATTAAATCCCTACTTGATTTCCTCTAGCTTTTCTGGTACAATTCCTCTTATCTCTTCATTGACATCCTCTCTACTACCTGCTGCAACAGCAGTACCAGGCAGGATACCCTTGAGCACTGTCCCAACTCCTGCTCAGCTGCAGAGCTCTTCAGAAGCAACTGCCTGTGGTAGTTTTGGGGAAGGATTTTGGATGTTCCCACTCTTTTCTTGGCTTGGCCATGCTCTGAGTAAGCACACTTTGGGGTCAAGTTTTCCGCTAAGTCTCCAGTGGTCTGCTCAGACTACCATTTCAAAATTTTTTAATTTGTCCAAGTTTGGACAGATTTTTCAAGCACTGTTGCTAGAGTTACTCTGGAACCTTCCCTGTGAGGTTACAGGTTTTTGTTCCAAAGGATGAAGTGCTAGCGTCTCATATCAAGTGGCATGAAAATGTACAGTGGGACAACATAAGATTGACTAATTTTTTTCTTAGAAATGGATTACCTGAAGCTTCAAAAATTGAAACAGGAGCATGAGGCAGGCTCATGAGTAAAAGAAAATTTTAGTCTGAAGAAGCCAAAATTAAGTTGTTAAATGGAAAGTTTTAGAAGACCTACTCTAGGATATCCTTAACTGTTCAGGCGGACCTATATTAATTGGCAGCTACAAGTATCTCTTCAAATATGAGTGAAATGCATTTATGTCAGAGATGAAATGGAACATTATTTGAAGTAGGTTAGAAAATGGAGACTTCTTTGTCCAGCAGAAAATAACTGCCACATTCAGCATGTGGCAAAAATGTCAAGGCAATGCAGCTGTTCCTCTTAAAAGTAATTTGTGGTTGGTTTGTGTTTTATTGTGGGTTTATTGGGTGCAAATGAACAAGCCTAAGTTTGTAATTGCACCTGTGGCAGCATGATGCTTCCTGGCACCAGCTGATCTGTTGATCCTGGTGAATACAGAAGTGAAAAGTGGGTCTTAAAAAGCTATCGATCACAACCAGAACTATATGAATTTTAGCGCAGTTTTCTGTCATGCCTGTATGGAGGCAAAAGCAGTTATGTTTCTGGAGCCTAATTACAGAAGTATCAAATCTATAGGTTCCTCATAGTTTTTAGTTTTCATTTAAAATGGAACATTTTTAAGAACTTGCTTTTGAAGTTTGTACTCTGAAAAGCTGAAGTCTATTTTGATATGAGATAACTGTTAGGAGAGCCGAAAAGAGACACGTGTACCAGGCTCCCAGGTCCTCTGAGAACTCCTGAGCAAAGGCAGGCATCCTGCTATGGGGCCAACTCTGAGTCTGTAGAATCTTGGTATTATTATATTACTGAAATTTATTCTTAATTAAGACCTTTGTGTACACGCAAATGTGACAGGTTAATCTACTTAAAAGCCATTCATGGAAAGAGTGACATTTTTTATAAAATAATGTTGGCAGGTCAGTTTTCATTAAAGACTGTGGGAGATGTACATGTGAAAAATGTGGGTTTTGCTGTGGCCAGTTTGGTGGGCATACTTTTATGTTCTATTTTAAAATCATGCATGTATATTTCTAGAAAGCAGAGTTGTTGCAGTCTGTGTCCCCACCAGTGCACTGGAGAATACAAGATGCTGATTCTCATGTATGCTGATAAGATGTATATGTGTAAATTCCCCCATTACCCAGCTCCATCAATGGGAAAAGACCATCCTTTGTCAAAGAGAAAAGTTATGAAAGGCGTTCTTTATTCGTGACAGAGTGCTTTAGGGAAGAAAGAAAGTGACTTATGAGTGATTCGTTTGGTCAGGCATGCCAGGAAATTTTCTGCTCTTGTATCATTCCTAGAGAAAATTAGTAGCCAAAAATGTAGTCATTGATCTCATAAATTACATTGATCATGCTATATATTCTGTATTAATCTTAGGAGGCTTTTTAGAATACCTTATTTAAAGGCTTTTCTTTGCACTAAGTTACATCAGTATCCTCTATCTTCTTCCCTAGGCACTCCTTGAAGGCCAGTGGTTTGAATCTGAAAAGGGAGCAATGGTGGCAAAATACCACCATTGTTAGTTCTGCTGCTGCCAGGTTCTCATGACCCTCAGCAACAAGAAGTTAATTCCAGAAATACAATTACAAAAATACCAATATGCTTGACCTGCCAAGTATTTCTGTATCAGCATGAGACTGCAAAGGGGGGTGACGGAGGACTCCCCACTGTCTAAAAGTCCAGAGAAAGATGTAATTTTCTCATACTCAAACCCATGTCTCTGCTGCCATTTGCTGTGCAGGATTTGGAGTTACTGTGGAGGAGTAGCAGAGGTTCCTAGGGTGACAACAACATTTATCTTCTGGTTTTACATTTAATACATAAATTTTGTATTTGAACAAATACTGCTTCCATCAGAGAGAGCTATATCAGGGATTATTTTCCTAAAAGAAATTCAATTTTGAATAGTTGATTTCCTGACAGTATAAGTACAAATCTCTGCTGATAAAATGAAGAATCAGTGCTGGCAATAGAACTGGATACCACTTGAATCAGTCAGTTTCCATTTGATAGCTATTTATAGAAGATCCTTGATAGGTCTCCATTTTTCTGGGGGCCATATACATGGTCTCAGTTCATTCCACCTGTAGAGGTTTCTATGTGACTAGAAGAAGGCTGATACCTTGTCGGTTTGCTACACTCTGCCTTCATGGAGTATTCCTGCAGGCATTGTAATTATCGCTGATGTTTGCAGACCATAATATTGGAAAAAATTCATAGTACTATTTTTCCAGAAGCAGTATTTATAATACAATACTGTTTAAGTTCCTGTATATTTAGATAGATGGTTTATTGGTACTCATATTTTTCAAAGATATATAGGAGCTCATATAGACTGCTACAAATACTTAATGTATTTGTCTGACATTAAACAGTGATGATGTTTTTTCATCCCAAGATTGCTTCTTAATATCAGTCATGGCATATTAAATAATGTATCTTCTCAGTTATTTCCTGTTAGATGTTTTTGTATTTATTCATGTGACTGTAATCCTATAGGCCACTTCCGTATCCGCATGCAAGTGACTTTATTTATATAATAACTGTGCCAGAACATTTATATAGAACATTTATATCCACAGTAAACTTGTAGCTACTTAGTGAACATCAATACCGTCTGTTGGTGTCTGCCAGCAAATTCCTAAAGATGTGAAATTTCTGGACTCGGGAAGGCCCTAGAGACTGGACTCCCATCCTGCTTTCCAGCTATAGTAGGACATGGTGCTTAGTTTTGGGAATCAGTGAAGTCTCAGTTCTGAATTTTGTGTTGCTGCTTTTTGTTTGAATGAAAAAACCCTTCAAAATGTCCCATATTGTTATTTTTTTAAGGATTCTGAGAACATAGATGTCTTAACAATATGATCTATGCAATACTTGCTGGGCAATGGCCTTATTTCACAGTAGTGGTTTGACTCACATTTGTTTTCTTGTATTTCTTGAGAGACAGATGTTCTTTCTTGCTCTTCCTTATTTCTTTTGCTTTTCTGTCATACCATGGCCAAATCCTGTGCTGCTATATATTATAGCTCCTGTAAAAATCATCTCCTCAAGTCACAATTCATTGAGAAACCTAGCTTTCACTTCAACTGAAGCAAATCTGAATAGCAAATTTAAAAAGAAAATGTGAACTTGAGTCAGAAAAGACAGGAAAAAAATGTAGTTTGTAAAATGTCAGTTTTGAGCCAGCCCCATGATTTTAAAGAAGTGATGCTTGTCTTGCATTTCTTGAAAATTTGGTTTGGGGAATATTATTTTCAATAAATTAAGAATTTCTGATGTTTTCTTTTGATTATTGCAAGTTTAAAAATATGACAGTGTAGGAGGTTCCTTGCCTGACATTGGAGCATTCACAAGAAGACTGCACTTCTGTAGGTCCTTTACACATCCGGTTTACAGTTCAAAAATGAAAATATTTTGACAATTAGACCATCTTGGTGCACCTTATACTGCAAATAAGCAAAGGCTGAGTGCATGCAGATATGTGTGCAGCAAGTAGCTATGCTACAAGAAGGGATCAGGAACATCTGCAATTCATGGCACTTGGTTCCATAAAACACCAAACTTCAAAAATCAATTTAATCACTTTACATAATAATCAATTTCATGTGAAATACTCTGCCTGTCATTCCAGTAGAGGGCAGTAATTTACATACAGTAATATCAAATAGTGTGTGTAGGCAACATGTGTCACAGAATATTAGACACAATGACTGATTTTGTTAAGATAATGCAATATTCAAGGCATACTCTATCCTCAAGGATAAAGTGCCACCCAGAAGCCTTATTTTCTGTGCTTTTGCAGCAGGACTTAATCACATCTAATTACAGTACATTTATGCAATTTGCACTCAGCTCACTAAACTAAGTCACCTCCACATGCCCCAGTGCTACATGCAGAGGTGTGCAACACGTGTCCCCAGTTTAATGACATAACCCCCCCAGACTGAGGGACTGTAACGCAGCTCATACATTATGTTGGTCACTTAAAGAAAGAAAGTATGCCCAAAAGTACATGTTTGGCTCCTGAGATACTTACATGAAATTCAAAACTGTGCAGTGCAGATGTGGCCTTTCTACTCACAGGGCGCTAGTCTGAAGCAGCATGTACAAACAAACTCTCCATGCTCTGGCATAGAGTCCTGAAATTACTGCCATTACTTGGCAATGTAGAAGTGGAACAAAATTTATGAGAATTAAAAAGTAAGATGTTTTCAGCTAGCATGCCAATCAAAACTAAAACATATTCTGCTGTATATAATCACCAGAATGAATTATATTTCAACAGATAATTTCATTGAGATACTGATTTTTTTCTTTGTTGCTGTTAACAGTAAGTATATAGAAAAGTTTTTCTATCCAGAAGTCATTTTTACACATCCAGGAACTTGCTGTAGTACAGTGAAAGAGGAGGCACTGAAACTTATAAGCATTTTGTTTCTTTAAGCTATAAGAATTTGATTTCTAATCTATTTCAAAAACACTATAACTTGAAATTTATGCTTAGCAAAAAATTGTTTAAACTATGAGTATTTCTTTAGCAGCAAGCTAAGTTCATAAACTTCAAAATCACTTCCTTAATTTTATAAATACTTCACAAATTTTACTTGTCACAGTGTAAAATAAGACGGGGATAATTGGTTTCTTCTGTTGCTTGAGTTAAATGAATGGCACTGGTGCTCTAATACACCAAGCAGCATATTTTCTGGGGAGGACTGGTTTTCCAGGCCATCATGATGCAGAAGGCACTGAACCTTCACAGTTCATTTAATACAGAAGCACTTTAAAAAAACCCACAAAACTGGAGTATTGGGTTTGTTATAGAAAGAATTAAGGGGAAGTTGCCTTCAGAACAGTAGCATAGTTCAAATGTACCTTATATGTAGATCTTTCTGAGTTTGAGCAAAGAGTAGCTTGAAATATCTTTGTATACAGTCTTCTGTTGCTGTAATTTATGAAGAAATTCAGGAAGAGGATAGCTTAAGGGCTAAGTTAAAACCAAAATTAGAAATGTAACTCAGTCAAAATACTGAAAAATTACACTTAGCATTGCAAAAACGGGGTTCCTAAAGATTTAGGAACCTCCTTCATTGGTTCATAGCTTGTACTTCCCTAAAGTGTGTTGAATACACGTGCTAAGTTTATGTTGAATTCACTGCATGGAGGAGTGAGGACATAAGCATTTGTCCCAACCTCTAGGTTATTTTCAATGTGCCTCTCATTCCTCTGATAAATACACCTTATTTTTCCCATCCCAGTCCCACTCATCCTGATCTGAATGGCATGCTCTTTCACAGCTTATCCAGGAAAATGCTGTAGTAAATTATTTGAGACTGAGTCATTTTTGTGTCAGTTTGCTGAAAGAATATGTGAATGGCATCTCATGGTCTTGCTCATTTTAAGAGGTGTCTTTAACATAAGGACTGATTTTTATTGAAATAAATCGATTTTACAAGGAAATTTCAGCCCTTGTATTTATAGTAAGAAAGAAACTTTTTATTTATTACATTGGAAAGACTGCAGCTGGGAATGCACTCATTAATACACACAAACAGATGGATTCTGACAAGTCTGTGAACTACTCACACTCTTCTTTAGCAAATATTTTGCAGTAATCCCAACTTGCAAATGTTACTTCAGAAACAAATATGTAACTATCTCAAGCCACAAAACAAAAGAGTCATGAGTGACTTTAAAATACTGTGAGTTGATTATGCATATGATATTGTCAACTGTCACCATCATCAAGCTTCAGGCAATCAAACCACTCCCTAACCTACAAAGCTATCCCACTGCCTCTCCTTCCTTCCCCTGTCCCTTCTGAAGAGTTTATAGCCACCCATTGCAGAACTCCAGTTGTACGCGTCATCCCACTATGTCTCTGTGATGGCAACTGTGTCACAGTTTTCCTGCTGCACAGTGGCTTCCAGTTTCTCTCGTTTGTGGATCCCCCCCACCCTGTCATTAAGCAGAGAAGTTTCTCTACCTGGGCGCACTTCCGCAGCTCTGCTCACAGCTGCCGCCTCGTACTGGTACAAGAGCTGGGGCCACCCTGCAGGTGGCACCTGGGTGGCAGTGTGTTCCTGGGCAGCTGTGTCAGTCGTGCTGGGTGTGGAGCTTAGCGAGGCCATGGCTTTCTGCCAGGGGGATACCGTTGCTCCCTGGTCGAGCTGGCACAGCTTCAGCACTCTTCTGTGCAAACTGCTGTGCCACACCCTGGTCACAACTGTTCCCTAAGGGCTTACTTTATACGTGTGGCCCCTGTCAGCCGCTGTTGTGCTGCCTGTGGGTCCTGGAGGCTCTCAGCTCCTCCTGAGGTTCCCAGTTTCAGTTACACTGTGTTAAATCTCCTGCCGTTGCTCCTGGCCCCAACTAGGTCCCGGTCCCAGTCCCAGAGGGCAGGGTGTCTGTGTAGATCTGGTAAAGTCAGGATTTTCAGTAAAGGCTGGCACTACTTTTTCCACTTTCATTTGTGGAAGTCACTGAGAGAAGGTAAATGTTCATCTTCAGAGTAGCTCACTAAACAAAGTAGAAGAAAATTAATTATACAATATAGGCAACTGCTAGAGAAGTTGATAGTTTTAAGAAAACTGATAAGAGAAGGACTGCTGTGTAATAGTATAACTAGTGACTCAGATCATGTACTTTCAAGTAAAACCAGTGTGTAGCACACATTGTTTCTCTTCAATTTTTAAACTTTAATTTGTACATTTAAAATTTGATTATTGTATTTAGGAAGGTAAAAATGACAATCAATTCCTCTTTTCTGCATTATTTATTACTTCATTCACTTTTACCACATCTTCTCTTACTTTTCTCAGCTGTTTTTCAAGCTCCATGACAGCATCGAGCCCGTCAGCTTCCTTTGAACCAGCAGGGTAATTATATAACCAAAAAGACACCATCAACTTTCCAAACATCACTAATCGCCATTACATGCATAACCAAACATATGTACATTGAACCTCTACCTGAATTTCTGCCACACAGTGAGGTGTTTGGAAGTTGCCCAGTGTCTTTCCTGGGAAGAAACTCTTACAGCTTTGTTATCAGCTAAAGCTTTCAACCATTTTTTTCCCTGACATTTACTTTAAGAAAAAAAAGAGCTTCTCTAAAATCAGCAGAACTCTGAATTCTGATGTAAGGATGCCTTTTATCATCCCAACTTCACTCACTCCATCACTCCTGAACATAAAGAAACGTAAGTTCATAGAGAATCAGAAGCATGTAGTTTTATATCATCTTAGCAAATGAGTATTTTGGTGATTACATCTGAGCATTCTGTATATCCCTGACAGCTCCAACTGCTTTTGTGTGAGAACAAAACAGATTATTTGATTATGGTCTTAATTCAACAGAGCACCTATATGTTGTATAAATTTATATGATTAAGTGTTTGACTCATGTAGACTAGTCTGTTTTGTTACATTTAGCCTCTAAACCAACAGTATATTCTTTTTAAAAAGATTGTCTATTAAGTCAGTGTGGTTGGATGAGTGGGTTCTTCAGAAACAGGAAGGTACCAGAACATCCATATTTATGACATATAATAAAACAAAAGATACTATACCTAATCTGATTCAAATAGAGGTCAAATACATTTCAGAGTCTAGGTTAGACAAGACACCACCAAATAAAACTGACTCTGAAACATCTGGTTTGTTTCATATAAAACCATAAACGTGTAATTACTAAATGGCCTAAGCTGTTTCTTTTGAAGGCACTCTAAACAACAAGGACAGCAGGACAAGTGTTTACAAAGCCAAGGCATATATATTAATCGTGGCATGGCAACATTTTAGAGAAACTGTCAAATTCAGAGGGATTATAAAACAGCTGGGATGAATTGTAGGTAGGAACTGTTTTAAATCTCTGGATTCTAGGTCACACTAGAGGCTTTAACACAGGGCACTCACTGCCTCTTGCACTCCTTTGTGTTGCTTTCTCTTAAGGGAGAATCATGACTTGTAGAGGGCTGAAACCATTATCTCTTCTTTTATGGAAAGCATAAGTTGGTGCAATCGTTAGGGATCTTGAAACTGGGAAGAAGTTTATTGCTGTGACAGATCGGGCAACATATGGAAGGAAGTAAGATGTTCTCCAGAGACAGATTAAGTTTTTGCCAAGGCATTTTACTGAAATTTTGGAAAATAAACAGGTCACTAATTGAGTCCAGATTTAGCTACTGCAAATTGTGCGAAGATGTTGCGAGCCAGATGCTTTCTCCTATTTGTTTTTCCAACCCTTTCTATTTATAGATGCCCTTATTTAATGACTTATTTCTTTAATAAAGGGCATTCATTGTTTTGTGCTGGAAGTCTTGTCTCTCAATTTTGCAAGTAGATGCCTGACTAAAACATACATGTTCACACAACTGCACGGGATGAAACACTCAGCAATAATATGATAAGTAGGAAATAATCAGTAGGAAGAAGTTAACATTTAATTTTTCCCTGGCTTTCTTAGCACATAACAGTTTTCAGCCTTTCTCTATGCAAACCCTGCTAGTGAAATGGTAGAGACAAAGAAACTCATCCCAAGACAGCATCCTTAGACTTGGCTTGCCAATAAAGTTGTGAATGCAATCCATGATGGCATTTCCCTGTCCTCCCAAGGTATGCAACACAGCCACTGATGTACCTGTCAGCCCTGTTAAAGCACAGTTTCAGCTCAAACTCCAGATTAAGGTCGGATTCCAAAATGGGAATGTAGCAGCCAAGTCAGCTAAGCTCTACTAGAAATACTTTAAAAAAGAAATATTCATTCTTTTTCTACTTAAGTTTCTTTTAGTCTTCAGAATGCATGCATTATATTATGCTCTATCCACTCAATCTGGATTCATGTTATAAATAACGTACAGGGTGAAAAACATCTGCTCTGACTTGAAAGGAGTGAATCTAGTGGGAATGCCTTCTAAAAGGATTGAGCTGGTCACACCAGGTCCTTTGCAGTCAAGACAGAAATAGGTACCTCTGAAAGCAAGTCCTGTCATCCCAAAATAGGTGTGTGAGACAAAGGGTTGAATTGCCCTCCAGTGGTGCTTGTTTCTTTCCATAATCCTAGCCAAGTGACAGCAAAGACCTGCTTGCATAAGTGACAAATGGGGAAAAGCCATCTCTTCAGCTGCCACCTGAATGACTTTGATATGGAAATCAGTGAGCCACTAGCACTGCAGAAGTTTAATTTTAGAGATTGCTGCTTATAGCATCTCTGGCTTCATTTTAAGGTACCTGCTCAAGTAAGCAAAGCAGGAGATGGAGCTGACAAGGCACCTGTGACTTCAATGGCACTTGAACATGCACTTAGATGTTCCAACAGTAACCAGATAGTGTACCTGAACCTTGCATAAATGTATTTCTTCATTTCCAGTTTATTCTGGGGAGGCAGATTGTGAATTGCATGTCTTTAGAAGACATGCTGAAATCATTGTAATAAAACCTGTGTGATTTTACTTGTGAACCCTGACAGGTTTAGCTAAGCAACAAGGGAAGCAGCCATACAGAATTCTTAATGCATGTTTTAAAGTGCATTTGAGGTTCACTTTTCAAACTACTGTTTAGTTATCTAATGTGTGAATATTTATTGTACTGTGTCCTCAGTCAGCGCAAAAGTCCATCAGCCTCAGGTATCCTGTTTTTCACAACAGCTGCTAGTGGATGCCTAGGAAAAAGTGTAACGACATGACAAGTTTATGGTATGACCTTTAGGCTTCCAGGTTTCAGTAAATAGTTCTTTGCTGATGTTGTTAACAAGGCTGCCAATTAGGAACAAAGAGGGAGGTTTACGATGTGACTGTGCACTTCCTAGCTGAGCTACACCTAAGCTGGTGAGACACAGAGACTGTTTCCCGTTTGAAATGTTCTGGAGACGTGTAAAGCCCCACATCACAATTGCTATTTTAAAAAGTTATTTTCACATCATTCACAGGTGTCACGGTCAGAGTTGCCTCCCTGTCACATGAATTGTCAGTAGTCTGAGCAA